CTATTTGAGGCTTCAGGTGTGTTTCTTGACTCGTTCGATGACGAACGTTTGTTTGAGAGGGGGAGGATGTAACGACCCGGTCGGTCGTTTCATGAGTTACCGCTCTATTTTTCCCATTTCTTCTTCTTTATGTCTTGTTCAATTGTATTATGTGGTATCAGGTTGGTTGGTTCAGGTTCGGAAAGGTTTGGTAGAGTAATGAGAGACTTAGTCTCTTAAGTTGGCCTTTTAGTTGGAAAAGTCAAACGAAAGTTGACTTATGAGAAAACGATCTCGGAATTTGATTTTTATGATTTGGATAACTTCGGGAGGTGATTTGGGACTTAGGAGCGTGATCGGAATGTGTTTTGGAGGTCCGGGGTAGATTTAGGCTTGAATTTGCGAAATTGAAATTTTGACGTTTTCCGGTTGGTAGCGGAGAATTTGACATAAGGGTCGGATGGAATTCCGAAAATTAGAGTAGATCCGTTGTGTCATTTGGGACGTGTGTGAAAAATTTCAGGTCCTTCGGACGAGGTTTGATACACTTTTTGATCGAAAGCAGAATTTGGAAGTTTTGGAATTCATAGGCTTGAATCCGAGGGCAATTTGGTGTTCCGGCGTTGTTTTGAGTGTTTCGAGGGTTGGTACAAGTTTGAATAGCGCTATGTGACTTGTTGGCGTGTTTGGTTGAAGTCTCGAGGGCCTCGGGATGGATTTGGATGGGTGACGGGGAGTTTGGATTTTTGGAGCAGCTGCAGAAATTTCTGCTTCTGTTGTTTCCGCACCTGCGGCTTGGGGACCGCAGGTGCGACGCTGCGGATGCGTTTTAAGGGCCGCAGATGCGACTAAGGTGGTGAAGGGCAGGAGCCGCAGAAGCGGAGATCTTAGCGCACCTGCGATGGCGCAGGTGCGGGTATTTGACTGCAGATGCGGTTTTGAGCAGATAAGTGACTTCCGCAGGTGTGAACTTTGGACTGCAGGTGCGGTCGTGCAGGTGCATGCCTAAGGCCGCAGGTGCGGAATCCCTGGGCTAGAACCTATATAAGGTTTCCTTCGCGATTTTCTGCTTTTCTTCACCATTTTTTAAGTCGGATTGAGAGCTTTTTGGGAGATTTTGAAGAGGAAATTCAAGGGAACTTCGTGGAGGTAAGATTCTTGGAACTAAAACTCATTTCTATGGTGTTATTTCACTGATTAGGCTTGAAATTTATGGAAATTAGTGGTTAAAATTGGGGATTTAGGGCTTGGAACTTGAGACTTTGATTTGAGGATTTGAGGGGCCGTTTGTGGTCGAATTTTGGTATATTTGATATGTACGAACTCGTGAGAATGTAAGGATTCTACTGATGTGACTTTTAATGGATTTCGAGACGTGGGCCCGGGGGTCGGGTTTGGCCAATTTCGGGATTTCTTGATGTAATTTGATTATTTTCGCATGGGTTTCGTTCCCTTAGCATATATTGATGTCATGATTCTATTTTTGGATAGATTCGGCGCGAGTTGAGGCCGAGTTGATAGGCAAGGGCGTCGCGGAGTAGTATTTTATCCGGTTTGAGGTAAGTAACCATTGTAAATCTGGACCTGAGGGTATGAAACCCCGGTATTTCGTATTGTTTTGATAAATGAGGTGACGAACATGCTAGGTGACGAGCGTCTGGGCATGCACCGCTAGGGATTGTGATCTGGTCCGTCTCGTAGCGGCTATTAGGCCACGTATTTGATTTGAAATCTTATGATATTCCGTATTTTAGAGATGTATACTATATTTTGGGTTGTACGCCGTGTTTGGGGCCTTGTGCCGACCTGTTTAGACCCTTAGGGGTATTTTTACTACTTTCCTCTCTCTATTTGATTTGAAAGCATATCCTCAGTCATGTTTTACCAATTTATTGTTTAAAACCGGTTTCATTACTATACTTCTTAATATATGAAAACTGTTTGGGTTGAGTTCCCTGATTTTCACCGATATGCCCGAGAGGCTGTGAGGTTAATGACCGAGAGAGGTTGAGGACCTAATGGTGAGGATTATATATACATTATGGATCGGGCTGCACGCTGCAGCGATACTTATATGGATTGGGCTGCACGCCGCAACGATATGTATTGGATCGGATTGCGCGCCGCAGCGATATGGCGCTTGGGCCTTGCCCGAGTGGCTATACTTATGAGTGATACTGTGCCCGAGGAGCTTGTTTATGACATCTTGCTGTTTTCACTCTTCTTTTATAGTGAACCTCTGTTGAAAAATGTTGAATGAATGCCTTTAAAGGGTTTTAATTGAAACTAGGGGTGGGCATAATACCGGCCGAACCGTGAATTTTGGTTTTTCGATTTCGGTTTAATCGGTTATTCGGTCGGTGAGCGGTTTTTAAATTATTAAATTTTAATTTTTCGGTGCGGTTTACGGTTTTGGTATTTCGGTTTTCGGTTAAACCGAAAAACCAAAATTTAATGTATGAGTCAAAATTTTGAAACGCTGCCTTGTTTGTTAAAAATGGATGGACGATGAAAATTTTATTCTGAAATCTTTCAATGGTACATATCTATCTATGTTAACGGCTCCTCAATAGCAGACTTTACATCACTATATTTAGAAATTCAGAGATCACATAATAGCAGGAGAGTTCAGTCATCATGATCCTTAACATAAAAGATTACAATATTAGTCAATCATCTGTTAATTATGACAACAGAATAATTAGTGTCAGTTGCCATTTTCACCTGTGTTAATAGAGCAACTAATAAATAGAATAAAATTACAAGTTGGATAACTATAACCAAATGTATTTCATTCTTTAAAAGAAATAAATGTAACTAATTAAGTATGAAAATGGATATGGAACATGACAATCTAACTAAATTTCTTCTATACAACCAAAAGCCTCATGGAATAGATTGTACAGCCTCTAAAAGAACCAACAAAAGCTATTTTCCTTAAGAAGTAAAAGATCTCCTCTTATGTACATTACTATGGAATCTTCGACCAAAATTTTATGCAGCAACTATGGCTTGGAAAAGAATGGACAATGGTCACTGCCTTTGATCTTGAAGACAACTTCAGGAGGGTTTTCCCTCACAAGTTTTTCTTGGACATCTGGTGAAAGAGCGTGATCATCCAGTGTTTGGACAGAAAATCTCGACCTCCTAAAGATTCGTAGTCTACATCGGATATAAAAATCTTGAACCGTTAATAACCGAAAAACTAAACCGAAAATAACCGAATCGAACCTTGAAAAAACCGCACCGAACCGTAAATACTTTGGTTTGATTTGGTTATTAATATTACAAAACCGAAAACCGATAAATCGAACCGTACTTTCATAATAACCGACCGAACCGACCGACGCCCACCCCTAATTGAAACTGGAGTTTTATGAGATAAATGATTATTGGACTGCAGATTTTGACTTTATATTTCTGTTGAGATTTCTTATATGATCTTAAATGCTCGTCACTGCACTCAGACTTTATTTACTTTAGTTACTTACTGAGTTGGCATACTCACGTTACTCCCTACACCTTGTGTGCAGATCCAGGTGCCCGAGCATCAGAGTGAGAGCTTCAAGCACTGTCAGAGTCATATCCGGAGATCGCAAGGTAGCTGCATGGCGTTCGCAGCCCTGTCTTCCTCCTTCCTATCTTAGCATTTTGTTATTTCAGGCTATTTTGTATTATGCAGACAGTGTTTTGGCTGTACTTAGAGGCTCATGACTAGTGACACCGGATTCAGATTGTGTTAGAATATTTCGTACTGGTTTTCCGCTTATTTCTGTTAGTTTACATATTTCATATGAAGCATTTGAGACTTAATCGATTTTAGAAAATAATTTTTATAAAACGAATTCTATATGGAAAATGTAGGTTTGGCTTGCCTAGTACTGTGATAGGCGCCATCACGACCTGTGTATTTGGGGTCGTGACAAGAGGTTTTGGTTTGGACTTGAAAAGACCTATTAATGACGCACTTTAGGTACATAATATATGTTCTTCCTTCCATTAATTTCCTCAATTAACAACCTGTTCATAATTTGAATAAAAATTTAAGGTGTTAAGCAACCTTCCAACGGGATACTCCTATTTTCGAAATTTGCTAATACGGACATACCTAAAAATTTATTTAACCTCTAAGAGGTGCTATCCCTCTTTCTATGAGAAAGAAAACACTCGTAAACGACATAAGTTTAATTTGGAGTCAATTCACATCATTACAATTGCTTTTTCTTTGATAATGAGTTCATATATCCTTCAAAAGGCTATGTTGCAAAATTGCATAAAAAGAATCACAAATTCTTTCCATGGCTGCTCACTCCATGAGTCATGACGTATCTTGCTTAATATTATACAAACTTAACTAAAAAGTTGCACAATATATCGTATATGTAACTCAACAAGCTTTTTGCCTCTTCAGCTCCGCTATAGTGTAACATACTTGCACTATAATATAATATAAGAGAAAAATATCAAAAAATGGATACGAAAGATAAATACTAATAATGGCCTGACAGAAATGACATATCACCTTGCATTAGATCAGCTTTATTCGTACACTAAATGATGCAAAGCATAATTAATGCATATTAACAATCCGATAACACCAGCAAAATCCCCACTGATAGGATTTTACTGGGTTGTTGTTGTTGTAACAATCCGATAACATCAATCCGTAACTTTCAGCCTAGGAAAAAAACATCAAACATTAGATGAGCAGCCAATTAGTATGCTAAATTGCAACCACAATCGAAAAATAATTTATGAGCTCTCCAAAATTGATTAATCTACGTTCTGAAATTTTAAATTGAGCATGTTTCTCAATTTTACGCCACATACGCGCCAATACATTGGCTTTATATTATACATAGATAGATAGATAAATGTGTTGCTCTCTTTGCTAGTTAGATATTTGATCGAGATTAGAAGTGCTCATTTTACAAACTTAAAGCACCAGACCTACTTAATAGTATATTTAATGGACTACTTTGAACCTACCTTTAACATAAGGACCCGTTTTGTTATTTTCTCCAAATCAAATGGACAATACCCAGTTCCTTCCAGCTTAAAGCCTCCGGCAAAAGAAGTCTTCTGAAACTCACCGATTGCCGGTGAATACTGTTTAAACTCGCGCTTCACACACACACACACAGTACATATTTGGAAAGTGGAAAAAAGAGAAGAAATGTCTGAAGAATCAGAGAAGCGGTTTCAAGATGCCATGGACAAGCTCTTTCGGGTTCCTCCCAAATCCAAGCCCAATTCCACCGCCTCTAGGTTCTCTTCTTTCCCTATCTTTTTAATTTCTTAATTTTTTTTTGGGGGACTGAATTTGTATACTTCTAATGGCTATAATGTTTAATTGTGGCATTTTTGGTTTGGCTGTAGTAGCGCATCTGGAGTTCAATTGTCAAGAGGCAAGAAGCGGCCGGATATGTCATCTGCGTTTGCATCAGTGGATCCAAAATTAAGAGGCAAAGCAGTTAACAAGCACAATTTTTTAGCTACTAACAGTTCAGGGGAAGCTCCGCCTTGTAGACCATGGGACCGAGATGATTTATTTACAAGGATAGCCACTTTTAAGGCTATGACCTGGTTTGCTAAACCAAAGGTTTGATTTTTAGTGCCTCCTCTTCTTTATAGTGCCCCTCTAAATATTTAATCCTTACAGTAAATAGTACTTAGGCAACCCATTATGCCTTAGTAACATTATTGCTAACAAATTTTCTTTTTATGCTTCTAAACCATATGCTTTTGCACAGTTGTTCTAGTAATAGAGAAGTATAATTATTTATGACTCCAAAGGTAACTGCTCTAGCTGATTGCTTGGGCTTATACAGGCTTTTACCCTTATCCTAGAAGATTCTTTCAGAAATAGTCTTAGAATTTTTAAGTGGTTGTTTTTAAGTTCTGTGTTCTTCCTTTAGAAAGTATCTATCTTTTCTACATTCCTATTATCCACCTTTTTTCTTCTTTATGTTTTTGGAAAGGTTACCTCTACATCTTTTCTTAGAAAAAAGGAATCTTTCCTTCTGTATTATCTGTTTGCACATAAACTGTTTCCACTCTGCCACATTCTAAATCTTAGAACACAATGCATTTGTTCCTTGGCAGGCAATCAGTGCTGTTAACTGTGCTAGAAGAGGTTGGATTAATGTGGATATGGATACCATTGCATGTGAAGCATGTGGATCACGTATGCTTTTCTCCACTCCGCCATCTTGGTCACAACAGCAAAGTATGTTGCACATCTTTTCCATGTTTGTGGCATCTGATGTATTACTATTATTCTTAAAACAGAAGTAATTGGTCATTGTTACCTCGTTCTCATGCATACTGAATTTGTGTTTCTCGTTTCATGGTTTTCCATTTGCGGGCGTCAGTTGACAAAGCGGCCTTGGTATTCAGCTTGAAGCTGGATAGTGGACACAAGCTACTTTGCCCTTGGATTGACAATGTCTGTGATGAAAAACTAGCAGATTTTCCACCTACAGCTACTGCTATGCTAGTTGATCAGTATAAAATACGGCATTCTGTTCTATCACAGCTTGCTGCTCTTCCTGTGATTTCACCTAAGGCTGTCGCTAGCTTGAGAAGGCCTCAGTTAGATCAATTTCTACGAGAATCTTTAACTGTGGAACGTGATGAGCCCGAGTGCATACGAACTCCCCAAAATGAAGACACCAGAAATGAACGCACTTCAGTTTCTTCTCTCACATATTATCAGGTATGAAAGAAAATGTGAACATGAGCCAGCAAATATTGCTCTTAGTTTCTCATTGCTGGAGAATGTTGACGAGTACAAACCTGCAGCTAACCCTTACTCAACTTAATTTCTCTGATTTAATTAGTACAATGGCAAGAGCTAGTGCCTAACTGCATATCTGCTATCAAACAAAACTTGTCTCATCCATTGTCCAGTTGATCACTATGCTGTTTATTTTTGGACTGCATATCTGTATGTCTTCACTGTTTGAGGAGGGGCAGGGCGGGAGCAATCTTAGAATTGTAACGAAATTTTATCGTTCTTCTTTTTTGGGAGGGAGGGAGGGATGGGTGGGGGAGGTGAGCAGGGTTTTATTTCGAGCTATAAATTTAATTTTATATGGGCTAATTTTTAACGTAATTTCTTTTGTTAGATGAAGTAATTGTGTTTGTCAATTTGCGGTTTTTGGTATTGATATATTGAATCATGTTTAGGCACAAAAGCTCATTAGTTTATGCGGCTGGGAACTCCGAAGACTGCCATATTTAGTTGACTCCAAAGATCAGCTGCATCAATCTAGTAAGGATGCCAATCTCTCGGATAAGTCTCTTTTGAGCGGGAAGAATCAGACTATTACTGTCTACAGTTCATGTACTGATAAGACTTCTTTGAGCGGGAAGAATCAGACTATTACTGTCTACAGTTCATGTACTGATAAGACTTCTGAGAGCAAGACAGATGATGAAAGTCAAGCTTCTGAGGATGCAATAATCAACCCAAATGCTGTTGTTCTCGACTGTAGGCTTTGTGGGGCTTGTATTGGTCTATGGGATTTTTCCATGGTTCCTCGGCCTTTGGAATTTCTACGAGTAAGTGGATACACACAGGTCAATGATGACCATGTCAGTCTCAATGATGGCGGTAAAAACCTTCCTTCTGGCAATAGTGATCGTGATGAGAGTAGAGAGCACATAGGACACGTTGCAACTTCTGGTAACACTGTGTTAGATAGAAGACCGCCAAGTTTAAACTTAACGATTGCAGGTGGTCCTCCCCCAGCAACGCATAATTACAGGGCAAAAATATCTCTGCCAATCATTGGGCGGAATTTGAGAGCATGGTTTATTGCTGAATCTGAGCTTAAGGATGATTTAATAACCAAGAATGCATCTGGGAATTGCAAAAACCCAGAGTTGCCTGCACGAGAAAATACAACGTCCACATCAGAAGTGATTGCAGAAGCTCAACTGGAAAACAACAAGGCTGCTGTACATGTTTCTGGCAACACGACTGAAATGGCTGATAATGCAGAAAGCTTGGACAAGGTTGATCCAGCAGTCACAGATCATTGTATGGACAAGGTTGGAAATGATTTTCGGTCAAGTAGCAAGGATAGTGTCACAACTCATGTAGGAGAAAGTGGCGAGAGCAGAGTGATGGTTGAAGGGAACAATGTTACACAAGGAGGGGAACAAGGCAATAGGCATGATGTTATAATGGCTGGAGTGCGTCCTCTTATCCATGACATTTCACCTAGTCGAGGTAATTCAGTTTCTTTAGGAATGCTTTCTTTGATCAAGCTTGCCCATTTGCATTACATTGTTGCGAAATTTTCCATGAAATTGATTTATATTGGCTATAAGAGGGTGAACCAAGTTTGTTAGCAACATAGATCCAGTTTCATGGTCCAAGTTTGGTATACTTGCGTTGAATTGCAGTTTTGACATGCATTACTGTCCAAGGACTGTTCAGTCTCTTCTTATTTTGCATATCTTTCAGAATGACCATATGAATTGCTCGGCTTCTTCCTCCTTTTGGTATTCGCTGTTATGTCCATGAATCAGAAGTACAACACCTATATTCTTTCTGCTGTCTATCCAAAGACCTCACCTCATTGACCCAAGTTTTTCATTATTCTCTAGCTTCAAGTCTAGGAAGGTGCCTTCCCTATTCTGTGATACTCATTTTGAATTGCACCGCATTGCCTCTTTAGTATTTCTGTCTGCTTTGCCAATATATCAGACACATACGCTTGGAAAACAGATTCTTTTCAACCAATTTATAATTTCACAAAAGTATCATTTTCATGCAGAAATTCTTATGATGAACAATAGAAAAGAAAAAGGAAGGTACATTTTTTATGTGCATTCTTTGCTCTATTTATGTTGAGCGTACAAGTGTAACTGACAGATTATGTCATCCTTTCAGGAAAAGCTATGGAGTTTGATCCATTCAGGCTGCACAGATATTTTTGCCCCTGGATTGCATCTAATGGTGGCTCTCCACCTGGGTGGGAACAAACATTATCCGCTTTAGAGCGTCATGAAGAATCTTCTTCTTCTTTATCCAGCTATCCTCCATCTTCCTTGATTAAGGTAAGGAAGAAGTAAACTGAAGTTAGTTTGACTAACAAGGATAAAGACATTGTTAGCTGTAGTAGTAATTTTCTTGATTGATGCTGTTAGCTGTAGTAGTAATTAGGCTAGCTTATTACGAAACAGATAACATCAGTAGCTAGTTAAAACAACAACAACAACTACCCAGTATAGTCCCATATGGTGGGGTCTGGGGAGGGTAATACGTACACAAGCCTTACCCCTACCCGAAAGGGCAGAGAGGCTGTTTCCAATCGACCCTCGGCTCAGGAAAAGGAAAAGGAACATCAGTAGCTAGTTAGAGCAACCTAATTAACATGTAAACTCACATTTTGTTTGGTGTTTACTGTTTAGCAGATCTATTGATGAAATGATGCTCCTTTCATTCGTTTAACAACAATCTATTTCTTCATGGCCTTGACTTGGAGAAATACAGTTTGGGCTTACTGTTCGAATATGATAACTTGAGAACTTAAGGCAAGATTGTTTACATTAAACTAATGATGTTAATAATTCCATTTGGACAAAAAAAGAAAAAAAATCCATTTGCATGCTGCATTATTTACCTCAGAGAATTGAATGCATATTTAGACCAAGCATAATTCAGAGAGAAAATATATAGTACTATCTTCTGTTAATAAGAAGATTTATCTTCTGGGGTCCAGATTTCGATTTTGAACTCCACATTCCTTTTACCCTGTCTACTTATGCTTTTAGTCAACTTATATGAACATGACAACTTAAATATCGATTTTATTTTTCTTAGTAAATCACACAAAAAAAGGAGTAAATGAGATCATTAGTCGAAGATGAACGGTGATGTTGCATGCCCTTATAACACTGCTGAGGCATCCTCATACGTCCAAGTCAAAATTGAGAATTAGTTTAACAGGCTTAGGGATGTTACTTACCAGACTCTACTGTCAGTATCATCCTTTTGTTTGCTGATAATTGAAGACGATTTATCACTTGAGCTTCTGATCTGTAGCTCATTGAATTTGACGAAATTTTGCTTGGTTGCAACTGTTTATTTGAATTTAATGGGTAGTTTACCATGGTGTCAGTGGAGTTCTATCTGGTGGTTGACCCTTAACGTATATTGTTAGAGGAAATGGTGGGTTTAGTACTTCTAAAAAGAAGTGTTTGTAGCCTCCAAGAAGCTTGGCCAAACATGCTATAAGACAGAAAAGCACTAGCTTCCTTTGTTCTCTTGATACCAGATGGTCTGAGTAATGGGATGAATGCTACTTATTCTGTGCTTAATCTATCTGCCATTGTACTTGTTTACATTTACTTGTATAGTCTTACTATCAGGAAAAGAGATTATCTATTCGCCTTCTATCCTTATTTACACTACTTGTATAGTTTTACTGCCAGAAAAGGGATTAATCTTACTTTATATGTACTTTTAATTGAGAAAAGTTCTATCGTCAGAAAGCAAATGATTTATCTTGTGTTGCTCCTGTGCAGGGGGATGATCCTGTTGCTTCAGTGCAAAAGCTTTTTACATCTCCTCCATCCAAGCGAAAGAAGCTTGTTCGACCAAGTTAAGTCAGCAAAGTTAACCACATGCTAGAATATAGCCCCCATGGTCCCCGAGGAAATTCACCGGACAGACTGAGCCATAAGATTACCTTCCCAGTGGAGAAAAGTTTTTGCATCTTATTACCTGTATGTCACACATGTGAGCTTGTGTAGTGGATAATTAATTAGTAAAACGCTTTGGAGATAATTTCTCCAAAGTGAGAGCAATATATGTATTTTGTGAATGCTAGTGTTAATTACTTAGAGAGAGTTGCAATCTGCTTTTTTGGACGGAAAAAGTAAAACAAGGTGAAGACACTATAATTGCTGCCATTGATATAAACTTTCCGAGGAGAGGGAAAATTGCATCATGAATTTGTTTGGTACATAATTGTTGTACTCTTTCACTTTGAGCAATTCTTCCTCTTAACAGAATCTAAAGGACAAAAATCTCTCAACCGCATCTTGATCAATCCATCAAGCCGCAATTTGTTATTATCACCTTTGAGTAAGGTCTGTTGAAGCCTCTCTCTGCAACTACAGCTCTTTTATCTCCTATCAACTTAGCCACCCTGTTGATAATACCAAAAAATTAATGCATCTGTATGGTTCACTTAGTTGAATGATTTTGCATGGGTTAGTTTCTTGTGTAATTGTATGCTATTATTATCCTAATAGGTAACTGTTATGTTTTATCTATACTGTGACATTTCTGATAGGAAACTGTTTTGTCTTCCTATTAGTTGTTGAACATGCCAGATTGTCTGTTATACGAGTTCATATTTGGTGTCAATTTTCATTAAAAACCACCAGATCAGCTTAGGTGATTGGGAGATGGCAGTACCTGAAATAAGGAGAACTGGTATTCTCTTTCACAGTTTTGACCTGGCCAATTCTCTCCACAACATCCATACCATCCAAAACTCTCCCAATGACTAAGGCAGAGGCATCTAACTCAGGTGAGTCTTTAACTGCAATAGTAAACTCTGTCCCATTTACATCTTTTCCCAGTTCTTCTTGGTCGATTTCCAGCTTTCCTTTTCGAGCAACCAGCTTCATCTTCGGAGGTGGTTTTGAGGGGTCCCTCACAATAATGCTGACACTTCTTGCTACATTCTTGGTTCCTTGACACCCTTCACTCTGTTTCTCCCATTCGTCCACAAGGTTATCTATTGCCATAGTTCTTCCAGTGTTCTTTGCAAGTTCAGCATCCACACCAAATGATCTCAACCCACCATGTTGCACATAATTTGGCATTATCCTTGCGAATTCTTTTCTTCTGTAACTAACCCCAGCTGCTCCACTAACAAGTTTACTAAACCTTGCTGAGCCAACAGGGGTACTATCACCGTATAGCCCGACAACAATTCTTCCTATAGGTTCACCATCAACTGATACTTCAAGAAATGCTTGCTTTGTCACATTCTGATCTGAACAATAATCGACTTTTCTTGAAGGCTCTTCTGGTTCTATTTTATCAGGGCTATCGGGAAGTTCATCTGCCCTTGCCCTTGACAAATTCAATGGCTCAATTGCTTGGGAGCCTAAGAGTAGAAGCAAGGATGAACTAGTGCCAATGGCAAGTTCTCTGCGCGAAAATTTGCAGCATTGGTTGGGAATTGAAAGAGTTTTAGTTGTAACTGTGCCTTGAATTTGTTTTGGAGGAAGGGGAGAAGCTGGAGGCTGGAGAAATTGAGCTGAAGACTGCATATTTTTCTGATTTAGTCTCTTTCTTCTTAAGAGAACTTCTAAAGTCTGCCTCTCTAATTGTTTCTCAACTTTCTCTTCATTTTCTATGGGTGTAAGAAGTCTGCCTTTTCCTTTAATATACAGAATGATTTTTGTGGATAGGAACAGCAGAAGGCAATCCCCTCATATCTAATACAATCATGCTACTGGTTTATAAATACTTGACTGGGCCATCCTTTACTTAGCACATTTGAATAGCATCAAACTTGAATAATATATGGATTTTTACCTAGTTATACTATATTTGAAACTTATTAATCACTTTTCTTTAGGTTCCTTAAAAATTATATTGTGCATCTATATTTACTATTTATGTACAAAATATGATAAAAGAAAGATCCCTTAAATATAGGAATTAATTTGTAACTATATCTCCCATCCCCATCTATCAACTTAATTAGCCTCCTTTAATCATGATATTCCTCCCAATTTCAAAAAAATTTGAAGTCATTCTGTCTTTCATACAAATCAACCAATCTCTCTCTCTCTCACAAATCAAACTATTATCTCTCTAAAATTATAGCATCATATATTTATCTGAATCAATTTCACCAACAATCATTAAAAAGCTTTAACTATTGACAAATCCAACGACATTATCTCTGAAATTGCAGGTAGAGGGGTCTGCCATTGACATAGCATTAAAAAGCTTCGAAACTTTGAATTGGATATTCAGATTTTACGAGTTTGTGATTTCTTTGTATTGGGTGTTCTTGAAAATGATTGAAAATATCCTTTAGAGTTCATATCTCAATTTTAGGAGAGATTGGTTAAGTTTAAAGTTGGTTTTAGGTTGAATTTCATAATGAAGCTCGAGGAAGATGAAGTTTCGGAATTGTATTACGATTGTATGATAAATGTATCATAATTGTATCTGAGTCGTATTTGATACATCAATACCTAAGACAATTCTGATACAATACTAATACTATTAAAATACAATATTGTATTATAATTTAATTTAGAGTTGGTTCTAGGTGGATGTTTTAAATTGAAACTTGAAAAAGATGAAGATCAAAGTTGTATCATAATTTAGAATTGTATCACAATTTGTACCTAAAACAATACATGATATAATACTAATACAAGTATAATACGATATTGTATCAGTTTAAGTTTAGAGTCGGTTTTAAGTTGTATTATAATTGTGTAAAAATTCTTTCAGAATTGTATCAAATTTGTATCTGAATTATGAGCAGTTGTGAGATCGTGACGAATTTCACAGTTTGTTCACAAATATATGATAAATATATTAATTTATTATTATTGTATCAGGTATTATTTTGGATTTTAGTGTACCATCTACAAGTTATATAGCGTATCATACAATTATGTTTTACGTATTGATGTATCTGATACAATTTAAATACAATTATGATACATTTATCATACAATTCCTGAATATTTCTTCATTTTCAGTATAGTCCGGTCTCCCAGCAAAAGAACGATGTAATTGATGATTTAATAATATAAACTTATCGGCAATGGCGGGAAAAGAGAAGATGGAGATTCTGGGCGTAGATTAAGGAATTTTGTTGTAAAAAAAAGGAGAGGGAAAAAAGAAAAAAAAAAGGAAAGGATATACTTGAATCCCTTAATTGAAAGCACTAATAATGGGGTGGGAGCCTTTTAAGGAGCAATTTGTGAGAAAAACCTAGATACTTATTAAAAACTACAAAACATAGGGAACATTGATAAATAAGTTTCTAATATAGTATAACTAGGTAAAAGTCCCAATAATATAATATATAAAAAATAAACATTTTTACAGCTATTATTTTAAGAGCGCCTATACAGTGTCATTTTCCTTAAAGAATTTATGGTTGGGGCATGACATTACTCTATATTATTATAATTGTGGTCGAGTATTGTATGGTTAATATTTCCAAACAAGAATTTCTTTAGATGGTCACACCATTTAATGATGTGTTTTCAGCTGGCAAAATAATATCAACAGCATTGTAAACGTGCTCGTGGTCAAAACAAATTGAAAAATAAAAAGAAAAAGTACTAAATGCAATACATGAAAGTAATTACGAGGTTTTGTTAATTTAACACAAGATACTACTACAATAAGAAGGAAAGTATATAACAATGGTATAAACTTGTACTCCATGTCGTCACTTAAATTTTATTATCGCCATTCCCGATCCGCACAGCTATGAGTGTTCAATGTTAGTAATAACTAGTGAATTGGTAATAAGATTACAAGGAATGGCAATTATATAAAATCTAAATACGATTTTTTGATTAGTAGGTCAAGTTCTATTTTCATACTCGGATTAAAGATGTCGATTTTGATGGATAATTGACACTACAGACATATTCATATTGTATTTTAATCGATGAGAATGCTATCATAAGAATCTACGTAATTCAAAAAGTAATTACATATTGCTTATTCAAAGATAATTAATTTCTTAGAAAAAAAAATTGAAAATGGACACCTTTATATCGTGAAGAATAATATATCGTCTAAAAAAGGAAGAGTACAATTTGTTAATACTTGACTACAGATAAGTATTCGAACTATAAAATATAAATTAAAATTTCACTATTTTCTAGAACACTTGTTTTTTATTTTATTTTAAAGTTGTGTTTGAAGATCACTTTACCTTACAAACTTTTCAATTTTCATTATGGTAACATATACTATCGTCATTGTATGGTTCAAAATTAGACCAGAAAAATTCGGCACGCGAAGACATAATGCCAAGGTCGGACAGCTCAAGGTCGGACCGTCATCAATAAAGCCAAGGTCGGACAGACCAAGGTCGGGCCGTCATCAATAAAGCCAAGGCCGGACCGTCATCAAGAAGGTCGTGGTCGGATAGGCCGAGGTCGGACAGGCCGAGGACGGACAGTCATGAAACTGCTAGTTTGCTTTAGAATACTCAAAAGGAATATTCTACCGAATATTCTCTCTAAATTGTACCTTTTGTAAGGATTTTCTATGGATACCCCCCTTATAAATAGGAGGGGAGGACTTCCCATTGAGGGGGCTCTCTCTGGGTCTCCCTCTCCCTCTTTCTAGAAAATATGTAAACACATCTCTCAAAAGAGAGAAGAGGATCTGTGATCCAAAACCTTCATCAGATCCAAAAAGGGTCCAATGGTTCTTGTATTTTGTCTATCATTCATCTTTATCAAATGAAAGAAGATCCGACTAACTCAAGATCGGGTGAATCTTTTCCTTTATCTACATTTTATTGCCATTTAATGGTATTCAATGCATCTTTCTTTATGTTATTAAATCTGGCTATAATCACGCCCAATATTTATACTCAGCTATGTTTTTCTAATCATATTATTCGTCTCGGATCTAGAGTTAATTATCTTTAACTAGGATTTACCCCTTCATCTATTTGATTGATTTGCTTAAAAAGTGTTAAACAACTTTTGAGTCAAACAATTTGGCGCCGTCTGTGGGGATTTTCTAGTTAAAATTTTAGTTTTCTCTAGATCTAAAATTCAATCCTAGCGAGTTTCTTGTGTAGCTCCTACGGCACATACATTCATACCAAGAACATAAAAGAAGTTGTTGACGTTAGTAGGCTATGGTCAAAGCTACATGTATATTGGAATTGTGAAATGTTTAATTGGCCGATTATAAACTTTGGACTATTGCTCCAATTTGAGGCTTTGAGCCACTTATATTCTAGAATGTTGAAAACGAATGAAGATCGGCATGAAAATGTTAGCATCTGAAACACCAGTAGGATCCAGGTGGAATCTAACGAAGGAACAAATTGATTTGCTTGAAAGCATATACAGGCAGGGATAAGGACACCAAGTGTTGAGCAGATACAGCAGATAACTTTGAGGACTAATGTTTTTCCACCACCTCGACCAAATNCGCTTTGTCGATCAAACCTGCAATCAAGTGCAACTTGTGAGCATTTTGAGACCATTTTGTAGCAATTTTATGACAAAAGCGTAGGCAAGTATGGGCATAAAACACGTTAAAATCCTATGTTATCAACTCCCCCAAACTTAAGCCTTTGCTTGTCCTCAAGCAAACAAAATAAGACCCACCCCTTAAAAGAAAATCCACATAATTCCAGCCATCTGAAGGCAATCTCAACAAGCATCAATTGGGACTAACAATTGCCCTCAATAGGAATGCATCATTAACACATTTAACTTTTGAAATACCATGGGTCAAGTGTGACGCAAGAGCATCAAGAGTTGACACATTTCATCAAAGAGCTTGTCTCAATTACTTTGGTCATTGTGGAAACCAAACTCACACGTCCTCAACTCTCCCTAAGCGAACCTCACCTTTTAGAGTATTAACACACAAATCGAGGATGATGGAGTTTCACTCATCTCTCTCAAGAAGAAGGACACAAGTCCGGCTTTAGGTACCATATGCTTGCCCCTTATGTAAGTATCCACTAATGTAGGTTTCCTTCAACTCAAGATCCTATAGGGCTTTTGTGGAGTCATTATGAAGGCTTTTGGGTAAGGGTAGAACATGTTTTTATTCAAATGGGTTCAATCTTCCCTTAAGCACTTCTTTTGATTCATTATGGCACAGCTCTTTTGACTCTTTTGAGTATGTCACTTCTTTACAAGGGGTTAGAGAGACACATTGTCACTCTTTCTTATGCAATTCAAAACATTTCTCCTTTTCTACTTTTTCAACACCTTTTTCTTTTCACTTTTGTTTCCTTTGACTCCCTTTTTATTCTTGTTCACTTTGAACTTTCTTTTTATCTTTTTTCTTTTCTTGCTTTTTCATTGCCTTCCCTTTTTCTTTTGCTTTTGTACCTTTCTACCACTTTATTTCCTTTCTTTTCTCTCCCCCCAAACATAGACATTTGCCATTACTCAAGGGAAGATTTGGGTGCCAAGAGAGGGTAGTCATTTAGAACGGGTATAGGCTTCCAGCATTGGTTCTTGAAAGAAAAGGTTTAAGGCTCAAAAGGGTTAACTAGGGATCATCTTTTTGGTAGGCTATGGAATTTTTCAGCTTAACATTCGGATCAAGGAGAGCCTATAATCACTTCTCAAGTCAAATTTTACCTAGGATTTCGCCTCAACAGACATTCAAGGCAAGTTCTAAACCATTGGCTCGGGAC